AGGCCGTATCCAATCTTTCCCCCAGAGGGACGCGTCTCCCGCCGCTGATTTAATCCTAAGATTGGGGGAGACAGGGTGCGCAATGGGACCTGCGATCAAACGTTGAATGGGTAGCTACTCCCCCCCCCTTGTTAAAGCACTCTTTTCTCTTGAGGGTCGTGCTGTTCTGTCTCGAAGGTAAAAACGCAGATGTATGATGGGTCCTCGACGCAACCCACTTTCCATCAAACTTAGGATTGAATCGGCAGCGAGGGACGCTTTTCCTGGGGAGGGATTGGATACTGCTCATGGATTGATCGTGCCACCTTTGGAGCACACTAGCCACAAAAATGCAATATTTCTTTTGTGGCGAGGATCTTAGCGAGGAAATTAGTCTCTGTAGTACTTATAAATCACGTGGAGGAGTTTGTTTGTCGCATATAGGGTGTCGCACGCATATCTCGCACGTTTGTTTATCAGTAAAATTGCATTGCAAGTCTTTTTTATCCTTGGAGTTCTCTTATTATGCATTTTTATTGCGGTATAGCCGTTTACATTCAAGGAGGGCTATGGAATCGGTGACGACGAATCGTCTGTCGCTTATGATGGTTGTCGACAACTGCTGTGGCATAATGCCCACTCCAGCCGACACGAACATGAGCCGTGGAGCCCAGGTGTGTTTATGCCCTTGTCTCAGCAACAGCCTTTCTATTTCTTTCAAAACTAGTGGCTGCTTATTTGTTGGGTGATATTCAAATCTTAATACAGGAGATGTTGTTGGTTGTCTGCTGAATATACCGATGGGCACCGTCATGTTTTACTTGAACGGTCGTCCTCTTCAAAGGCCTCATCTGGAGTTTCTACGTACGTTTGATTGAAAATCATTTCGTTTTATCCATTTGCTCTGTGGGAATGGGCTAGTACGATCAGTCAATTAAAGACTACTACAGTCCCTAAGTGAAACCTATCTTTTAGGAAATCGGCCGGCCGGAGATGGAGTTTTTGCTGCAGCTTCGTTCATGTCGTTCCAACAGTGTCGATTTAACTTCGGAGCAGAACCATTCAAATATCCACCTGATCTTGCATTCAGGTACAATGTTCATTTATATAAAACCAGCTTTGCTATTTGTTACGATTCCACTCAATATTCCTTTCAACTCTGTTTTTGGTAGTCGAAAAGGTTTCGTTATGTAGTAACATAATAAGTTGTGCTCTTATCTGAATGATATTCTAGCACTTTCAACGACGGCGGAGCAACACTAACAGCCGAACAGAAGACGATTCTCCCTCGGTACGAAGTTTTATTTCAATACTCACATGAAGATAGCCGGTGAATGTCTTTTCAATGGGAATTTTTTTAGGCGCAGGAGATTGGAACTGTTACAAAAGGAGCCCATACCCGAGGACTACTGTACTATATGCTATGCACATCCTGGAGATACTGTTTTGGAGCCATGCATGCACGGGTAAGAAGATTCATTTGTTCTTCTGTCAGTGGACGTCTTGAAGCAGCGGAGGGATATACTGCTTCACGCGTATTGTAGGCAGATTCGTGTAGGGGATGTCTATGTTAATATAGCTATGGGACTTGTGTTCCTATAGTTAGCCCTGGGTGTTAGAGGGGGAACCCCAGCTGAAACATCGTATTGCTCCTGCAAATAGGTCGTATGCAGCTGGTGGCTAAAAAAGAGAAGCATACAAGGAATCCCGGAAATACAGATGGCATACTTCTTGACGCGGTGCATCTACCTTGAACGCGGTTGAAAACTGGACGACTTGTTAAGTACGAGATATTGCGCGTAATATTGATGTTTTGAGGGATGGTGGTATCATTACGTGAAGCGACTCACGGTTCACGCATTGTCGCACCACTTTCGAAATTCACTCCGCCTCCAGAGTGGTTCACAAGTCCCTGGACTCAATCCATCTGCGCTCTAGCCCGTGCAACAGAAAGGCATGAATCACGTTGGGGACGTCAGCCATCGTCGCATCTCATCCTCGCTCGGGATGAAAGTCCAGAATAAGGGTCCAATCCGCGAGTCCCACCTCTTGGTTTCCTGGGATCTCTTGGTTTCACTTCACTGCCACTCCAATCAACGCTTCGGTTTTTTTTCTTTTGCGACGCGTCGGTTTGCCAGCTGCGTAAATCGAAATGGAGATTGATTACCATATTCAACCGTGGACTTTTCTACATACTAATTAGTTAATTGGTGTGGGGGAAGGGATGGCGTAAGCAGTTGACGCGTATTGTGTATGATTTTTGTGCAGGTTTTCGTAGAATCGATTCTGGATTGATCGAAGTTAGCTTAAAACCGGATTCGCTTTCTGTTTACAAACTACTTCAGTTCAGTCCTTTAAACCGCCTCAAGTTGATGCTCCCACCTGCGCTCTCTCGCTAAAAGCGCTTATGACTGCTGTGATCTCACACATTCAAACTTGCCACACTGTAATTGGCTCACCCACCCCAGAGTCTCTACCTCCAAGGCTTAGTCTTACGGCTCTCCCCTTCTTGGAATTTGGAACCGAACCAGGCACCGTTTTCCAATCGTCGTGGGACCATAAAAGAAAGTTCAAGCTGTCCGTAAAACATTCACTTTCATTAACTTTCGTCACTGATGCTTGTTTTCTAAAGAACACTTTCCCATAATTAAAATTTCTCTGTTTTCAGTGGAATTTGCAACACTTGTTCTGTCCAGATGGATCACTGTCCGCTCTGTCGACAGCCTATTGAGAATCGTCTTCATGTCAACGACGCTCCCCAAGCAGTCATTCGTAAGGTTTCTTCGTCCCATCTAATTCCGTCTCGTCGAATTTCGTCGGGACAACCTCTCTTCTCTCCTGCTCAACGAATAACTACGGAATTGTGATTATCATATAGTCTTATGTTGCATGATTTATTGTTTCTAATCAGGGAAGTGTTTCAACTTCCCATGGAACTTTGAAATGAGACCTAGGTAAATCGATAGAGCCTGGATGATGGTTACAAATGTGAAGACCAAAACTGCTACGTGAACCTGCCAAGGAAGTTGTTAGCGATCAAAGTGGTCCCAAGTTCGATTCCCCGTGGTGACAAAATTTTTGCATTCTAGGTTGGCGCTTCCAGATTGGTGCCAAATGGCGCATGCGCCAATAATATGTAGATGTCATCTTGGAAGTCAGGAGGGGCATTCAAATCCCTGGCAAGTAGTTTTCATCAAATATCATTACACTAACACTGCGTTAACAGCCAACTTTGATCGCTCACAGTTTCCTCAGCAAGTTCGCGTAGCAGCTATCCTTTCCTTATTTGCAACCAGCATTCTAGGCTCTATCGACTCACCTAGATCTTGATTCGAAATTCTATGGGGATTTAAAACACTCTCCTGGTAAGGCATAGAATGATACAACCTGTACTCACCACTTTGATGTGGCTTTCATGACTGATGACTCTATGGTTCTTTATTCAGTTCCTGATTCTCACACTGCCTTGAGAAACACACCGCCTTGTTACTGGTATTCAAATATGTTGTTGGCGTTTTAGCGTTCCATTTTAAAAAGGAAATATGTACAAAGCATTTGCTGGCGATGTTCACAGTTTATGCCATGGAAGGTAGGAAAAAATCCGAGAAAAATTCTAAGGAGCAGAGGATTGCCTAGAGAATGGAAGACTAAACAAGAATGGACTTTGGAACGCAGAGAGAGAGAGAAATAATAGAGAGGGAGAGAGAGAGCAGTCTCAGCTAGAACTGTGAACATCGTCTCAGCGCGGAAAATTGTCTTGTGTGTTCATGAGAGGTAAAGCTGTTCAACAGCGCCGCGGCATGAACTGTGAAGCACTTCGGAAGTTTTATGATTGAGCTGTGGTTCTAATTAAGTAATCATCCACTTATTTCAACGTTATTAACTCCTCTTGTTATATATCTCCGGCTTTAGTCAGTGAGAGGCCCTACCTGTATATAGTAAGATCCGACAACGGTTTTAAGAAGATTTCCGTACGTTTTAAGGTCTCTTGAACCCACCGATTTGACATATCCTAGTCCTTCTCATGCTCGCTTTCAATGTTGTTTGCTCTTATGTTTGAAAACTTGTCGCATTCATTGTGTATTTTTGTACATTTGTTACACAAGTTTTAGCAACAAGGTTCTTGTTATCAAAATATTACCGAATAAAGTTGTGAAGCATAGTAGGTGTTATAGTAAAATTGTGGTTTCCTTGACCGTTTACTTAACTTTTAGTCGATGTAAAACAGTGAGAAATTTCACTGGTGGTGCGGTTTTTAACAAAAACAAAGGCTGTCTGTTTGTGGAATTACATACGAGAGTTCATGAAGTGATGTAAGAAATCTTAAGTGATACAAGTATTGGCAAAGAGTAAATGAAGGCAGGGCTTTAAGTAGTTCTGGATTAATACAAGTGTGCTGGGTGTTGTACCTGCAGCTACAGTACATCCATGGAGTAGTCGCTCTTGAAGCAAGGTTTTCCATTGTGTGAAGCGCTTTTTCAGAACGGTTTTGCTCATGGAAGGAACATTTGAGTGGACCACAAAGCCTTGGTA